GACTGTGATTTATCATAGTTCTCTATTAGGTTTGTGGTCAGCTCTGGCTTTACGAACCCAAGATGGCTATTAGCTATGCAGTCTCTGTATTACTATGTTGCTTTTTTTGATGTAAAGCTCAAACTTTCCCGGACTGTGAATTATCATAGCTCCCAATTAGATTTGTGGTCAGCTCTGGCCTTGAGTTTTTTTTTCCTATACACTGAACTCCAAATCTAGTTTTTTTTTACATGCAATTAGCTACAAACAATGTGTGACACCTACAAGTTGTTCTTTTCCGCATTTGGATGTTCTCGTTTTCCTTTCCTGGTGCTGCATTTTCTGTCTAGCTGTTTGCTTTCATATGTATCCACATTTGCTGAATTTTGGTCTACTGTTGCAGTGCTGCGGTTGCAATGTGTTCCATAAGTTGGTTGACAACCTGAACCTGTTTCATGAGATGAAGTGCTATGTTGGTCCAGACTTCCGCTACGAAGGGGATGCTCCATTCAACTACCTTGACAGAAACGAGGATGGCGACACTATCTTTCCTCTCTAAAAGTCCAAAGCCTCCCTTATGTTTCAGTACAAAATGATCGATGTTGTTCTAATTTGCTCATATAGCTGTACTTAATAAGCAGATGTACCTTCATGAACTCATAAGACTATTCAGATGTATATATAATTATACTTAGTGCACACAGGTAGTGGATAATAATGGATAGACGAGGAAGTTTATGCATTCGGTGCTCTAGGAGTCTATAGTGTGTGAACATGATATATGAATATATCTCAAGTGGTTTCTGCCTTTCTGGAGTAGATTTGTGATCCTGGGGACTGAATGGGGCCTTTCTATTGTTTGTGTTGAATTGGAATAGCAATCTAGCAATCGTGTGTGCAGAACGGTAAATTCTTTGTGTTGGGGCGGTGGTTGTGGTTCAAAACTTCAAACTCAACTGAAATTGACCCATTAAAATATTATTGCTCACAATCAAGTAAAAGGAAGACTTTCTGGTGCCCACGAGAAGAATGCACGACGTTGTTAAGCAACATATCCAACAATGCCCCTCTTTCTGGTGAATGCACAACATATTTTGAGTTGAAATACGAGTGAGTTTCAAGTGGGAGTTTTGCATGTTGAGGTCTCATTTTGAAACAAATGAAAAATGGAGGTATTTCATAGGATTTATATTTCCTATAAGAAAAAAAAAATCCACGGGAGCCTTTTAGGACAAGGGATTGGACTACTACAATTCATGAAGTTCCTAAAGGAAAAGTTGTCTTAGAGGAATTTTAGAGGAATTATAACACGGGACCCAACCTCTTAGAACCAAAAAAAAACATTTGTGCTTATCTCTCTTAAGTCGCCACAACATTCTACACAACTGTAGTTCGTTGCTTAATACGAGTACTTCCTGAAAAACGGGTTCCTTGTCCCCCCCAACTCATAGTTAATAATCCAATTATAACTTGCAGATGTGCTGGAGGGAGCAGTGATCCGGGAGCACGCAACGATGACTGATCTATCCAGTTGCCTCTGGCTCAATGAGGCCAATGTTTTCACACCATGTAATCAGATCAGTTTTGGCTACGTGGTGCATACGCTCGGAGACGCTCTCAAGTTCCTCATGTTCTCCAACTGTGAATACATCGTTGTTCATCTTGCACAGACACACAAGAGAACACTCATCAAAAGTCCAATGGATCAAAACAATCGATGAGATTATGAGGAGGGGACTGAAGGAGAGTAGAGGAAGATTAGGGCTTTGGACTTCGTATCCTACGTATCTCAGCTCTGTGGAACTCCCTGCTGTAAAAAGAACTTCACCAGTAGGCTAGGCTAGGAATTTTGTGGTCTTTTATTCTTTCATGGTTGTACAAAGTAGAACTGATTTTTCAAAAAAAAAATGCTTTATCAGACGAGATCTTGTAATTCCTACTGCAGGCTAATGTTTGGAGACTTTACAATTACACATGTAAAAGAACCGAGGAACCTAACACATCAGATTCATGCATTTTGAAGTGATGAAACCATATGTGACTTGTATGTATAACTCTGTTTCTCCAATATTCTCGGGCATAACAAATGGAAATTAGGGTGAGAAGGTTCAAAATACAATATTTCCATGTTGCCAGGAACACACAACAATGACTGATCTGTTCTGCTACCTCTGGTTCAACGAGGTCAATCTTTTCACGCCATATGATCAGATCAGTTTTGGTTACGTGTTACATAGGATCAACGATGCTCTTAAGTTCTTCATGTTACCCAACTGTGAATACAATCCACTGTTCATCTTGCACATACACAAGAGAACACTCATCTAAAGTCAAATGGGCCAAAACAATCGATGAGATTGTGAAGAAGGGATTGAAGGATAGTAGAAGAGGATTAGGGTTGTAGATTCCATATCCTGCAGACCTCAGCTCTGCAGAACGTAACCGTAAAAAGAACTTCACTGGCTGTCTAGGCTCGAAAATTTTATGGTCTTGGAGTCTTTCGTGGTTGAGCAAAGTATAACACTGATTTTTCATTTTTTTGCTTAATCAAAAGAGGTAATGTATTTTCATGTAGATTTCGTTGTAGCTGAACATAACGGGAGTACTGTAGGCAAATGCTTGGAGTTTTGCTGCTTCCAGTTCTATGCAAAATCATACTACCATACACATATAAAAGAATCATGGAATGTAACAGATCGAATCCTTGTTTGTGGTGATGAAACCATACGAGTAGTCACCATGGGTGGTCCATTTACACAGGTGTGAAAAAATATAGTTTATTTGTAATAGAAGAATCATGGTTCATCAAGTCAGGCACACTTTGCAGTTTGTATTGTTGGATATGTAAACATGAAAGGGATCATAAGTTTCTATATAAACTCTTGTTAACTAGAGTAATTTGTGCTACCTGTGCAAACAATCATGGTGGTACGAAAAGATCAAACAGAACAAAACATGGAACATCAAATATCCTTGGTAATTCAAAGATAGTATAATTCACTCAGTATAATAGAACAAAAGCAACAGAGTACAAATCAAGTATAGGCCCCGTTCGGCTTACCCCATATCCGGCTTGTTCGGCTTGTTTTTTCAGCCGGAACAGTGTTTTCCTCTCACAACAATTCAGCCAGAACAGTATTTTTCAGTCAGTTTTAGCCAAGATTCAGCAAGCCGAACGGGCCTAGTGCATACACATCAAGAGACATGTCCATCCTTCTAGTTTTAGGCTAAGCTCTGCACCTTGCAAACTGAGGAACACTAACTAACACAAGAATGCAAGTGATGTGGTGGTAAGGAGGAGAAGAAAAGGCAGCTAGAGAATATATCTTTATAGTTCTTTTATGAAACTTGTGTGGAACTACTCCTACCTTTTATAATTGTAATTTACCATGTTTTCTTTTGCTGGAAAGCACCCACTTAGTCTTCTACAGTCTACCACTAATAGCATACTAATCCCTCAATATGAAAATGATATCAAAATGTTATATTATATCTGTTTTGGAACCGAGACCTTCTGCTCAACCGTAAAGGACTTTGACCATTCCCACAGGAAAAAAAAAGACAATCTGTCATTCAATTTGATTTCTAAAGATAGACAAAGTCGATTCACCAAAGAACCTTATTCTGACTTCAAATTGAAACATGCCCACACGTATATTTCAATAGTATATGCGAGAATCCTAAACAAAATATCGTCGCATGGCAGCCAGCCATATTGCAGGCTTCATCCATCGTCACAGTGGCCTTGTTTAGATGATGGTTGAGAAATCTAGGCTCAAAAATTGAACTATGTAATTAGTTATTTTTTTTTATCATATTTAATACCCATGCATATGTCAAAGATTTGATTTGGAGAGAGAGTGAAAAAACTTAGAATCTAAACAAGGCCAGTATCGCCATTCCAGTATTTGATAATTTTTTAGTTTAATCATGGCCTAACTAGGCTCAAAAATTCGCCTCGTAATTTACAATCAAACTATGTAATTAGTTATTTTTTTATCTATATTTAATACTCCATGCATGTGTCAAAGATTTAATGTGATTGTTTTCGCTCACACAGACAGAGCCGCGTCCCCAACCATCCGGTAAGGCGTAGGCCTGAGAGCCCTCGCCTCGCACGGGAGCACGGCGGCGGAGGAATGGCGAGGCGAAGCAGAGGTAGGCACCGGAACCGACCCGATGCTCCAGCCAATTGGCGAATCTAAACAAGTTCGGTTCGGTTCACAGGCGGCGGCATCACATCGAAGGCGGACGCGTGCCTGGCCTTCCACTCCGGCCCTCGTCGCATCCATCTCCAGGTGAATTTGATGTTTTGTTTGCTCGGCCTGGAGGAGAGCTGGGCCAGCTCCCCTCGCCTTCGGCCCTGCAGCTCCCTGTCGCGTTCCTCTCAGGTCAGCCAGTTTGGTCCCCCGGCCTTGTTTAGATAGGTGTTAGAAAACTCAAGTAGTAACAGGACGGGCCGGTTATCCTATCCATTTGACAAGCACTATAAATCTTTCGTTCAGTGTATCAGTTACAGCGAATGTTCATCACTTTACTTGCTCATAATTATTGTTATTTAATCAATTAATTTGTGATGCTGTTTCAGTGCTAGATCTTCTGAATATTATTTTCTTCAGACTATCTAACTCATAACAGTAAAAATCATTATTCGGCTCGTCTGCAGCCCTTTGCAATTTACAATCAAACTATATAATTAATTATTTTTTTATCTACATTTAATACTTCATACATATGTTCAAAGATTTAAAGATTTAATGTGATGAAAAAGGTAAGTGCCTTTAAACTTGTAAAATTTAAACTTGCTTGCAATCTTAATTTCTGTGCTATAGCTTTTCATTTAGTGGCAGTTCGTTTTGTTTTCGCTCACACAGTCACAGACTACTGTAAGTGCCGCGTCCCCAACCATCCGGTAAGGCGTAGGCCTGACGTCACCCAAGCCCTCGCCTCGCACGGGAGCACGGCGGCGGAGGAATGGCGAGGCGAAGCAGAGGTAGGCACCGGACCCGCGGACCGACCCGATGCGATCCAGCCAATTGGCGCTGCGCTCGCTCTCCCTGTTCGGATCCGAGAATCCATGTATTGGACAATCTATGCATTGGCCAATCATTATATTTTTCGAGGTGTTGGAGGTAACAGAGAATAATCAGCCGTGGCTTACAAACCCAAAGCGATCGCTTCTTTCATCTTATAGGAGATAAGTAGCACATTGATTACATTGATGGCTCATTAGAGCATTAACTAAAACAGCCTAACTGCCTCGGGTACTTGCACAAATACTTGTGCTGCCCAAGGCCTTAATAGCGTAACATAATTTCGGTTCGGTTCGGTTCCGTCACAGGCGGCGGCATCATCACGGAGGCGACGTCGAAGGCGGACGCGGCGGCGATGCGGGTGGTGTCCCGCAGGGGCGCCGCGCGGCTGGTGCTCGTGTCGGCCATCGCCTGGGCCATGCTCGGCCTCGTCGCACTCGCCTTCCACCTCCGGCCCTGCAGCTCCCCCGTCGCGTTCCTCTCAGGTCAGCCAGTTTGGTCCCCCGCGGCTTCCCTCGCTGCTATCCATAGACCCACTGCAATGCCCTTCCCTGTTCTGCTGGCAGAATACTGTCACTATGGCTGCCCAGCTTCGTCTTTGCAGCGTGTAAATGCCCTGGGCTTGATGATGCATCGGTAGAGCAGTAGCAGAGGCTTGCCTGCTTACATTGCTTTGGAAGTTAGTAACTCAAGTAGTAACAGGACGGGCCGGTTATCCTATCCACATTCTTCACCGACAAGGAATGGAAACAGTATCTGATAACTACTAATTCTGTTGGTTATCTCACGTCTCCTTTCACATTCAGTGTGCAATCGTGCATTAAGATGTCTTGCTTGTCAGTTACAGCGAATGTTCATCACTTCTTACTTGCTCATGCACACGATAATTATATGTTCTTCTAATACTTTATTTAATCTCTATTATGAATTTGTGATGCTGTTTCAGTGCTAGATCTTCTGAATATTATTTTCTTCAGACTATTTACTCTGAATTTAAATACCTTCTGGTCTTCCATAGACTGATTATCATAACAGTGGTACTTTGTCTTATCAATTATCATTACATACTTTGGCGTGCGTTGTATCTCTGCAGCCCTTTGCAAAAAAGACAATAAAGTTCTCTCTGTGTTGGACTCGATGGGGCTCTCATTGAAACCGCTCCACCGTAAGACTTGTGCCATAAAAAATTCTTTTGGTGGCTAAATTGTGACTGCTTCGTAGCCTCACATTAGTTAGTTCGATCCACAGGCTGCCCGATACCTGTTGCGGATGATCCAAATGCTGTTGCCATCCCAAAGAGGACTCCCAACACAATCGTAAAGAAGCTATCCTATATAACTATTGACAAACAGGATAAAGATCCTTCACCGCTGTTTGGAGGACGTCAAAACTGGAAACAGAGGGAGGAGAGCTTTAAACTGAATTCTACCATGAAGGTAACTACTTGCCTTTAATGTGTGCTTGTAAAATTTAAACTTGCTTGCACACTTGGTTCTTAATTTCTGTGCTATAGCTTTTCATTTAGTGGCAGTTAGTTCAACGATCAGTCAGATTCTCCTTTTGTAGATTAGGGCATTTGGCACTGAAGCATTTCCAGATTTTGTTGAATGCTAAATGAATGGGTCTGGTATCAAACTGCACATAAGGCAAATGAAGGAGTAACCCCTTTTACTTTACCTTCACTAGGATTTTTTTTTGGTGCAATGGGGAGAACTACATTCTGCATCCATGTGTTTTGATGTTTTCACCTTGCATTTGTTTTCCATTTGTGGTGTCTTGCAAACTACATCAGTGAAGTGCATACAATGTGCGAATTGTCTTGGAAACATCCTTGCGATCAAATTACCTGAAACTTACTTACCCTACTTGACAGAAATTGCTTGCTACAGCATAGAACTTATTATGGACAATCTATGCATTGGACCAATCATTAGCTTAATATTTTTCGAGGTCCATAGATGATGAGGATCAGTCACTAGAATCTACACTGGAGTTATAATGTCGGTGACCAGTTAGTGTAGTTTTCTAGTGCTTGTCTGCTTTGGGCATACAATAAAAAGATATGACCTACAATTTCATCATTGTTTCAAAAGAACAGTGCACTTTTTCCCTCTAAACGGTACCTTATTACGGTCTTTTCATTTTCCTCATTTTCTGAATCTTAAGTTATGATGCTTTATCGTTAAGCCTCTGAACCTACAAGCGTTTGGCCTGTGATATGCCCAGGTGCACTGTGGATTTATGAAAAATAGCGGTGCGGATATGGATATCATTGATGTCAAGTACATACAGAAATGCAAATTTGTGGTTGCCTCTGGTATTTTTGATGGTTATGACATTCCCCATCAGCCATCAAATATTAGTCGTCGGTCTCAGAAACTGTTCTGCTTCCTAATGGTGGTAGATGAAGTATTTCTTGATTTTATTGAAAAGAATACAACCGTCAAGGTTGACAATGCTGGAGGAAAATGGGTTGGTATATGGCGACTTATAACGGTACATCACCTCCCATTTGACGAACCCAGAAGGAATGGAAAAATACCAAAGATTTTAACGCACAGGCTATTTCCTCAAGCTTGGTATAGCATTTGGATTGATGGGAAAATGGAGCTCATAGTTGATCCACTGCTTATTCTTGAGAGGTTGGCTTTCTATCTGGAACCTCAGACACATCATATTGCTTTATCGATGATCTAAAATGGAAATTCTTTGCAGATATCTCTGGCGTGGAAAATACACATTTGCAGTAGCTGTCCATAAGCATCATAGGAGCATCTATGAAGAGGGTGATGCAATCAAACGACGGAAGCGGTATGCTCGTCCTTTGGTTGATCTTCAGATGAAGATGTACTATTATGAGGGGATGGAACCTTGGAGCCCAAAGAAAAAGATGCCTAGTGGTGAGTGAAATCACATATGCCCACAACATTCTACACAACTGTTGCTCGTTGCTTAACATCAATACTTTCAGAATCCATTGTTCCACTTCCACCAATCCACAGTGCTTAATAATCTGATTATAACTTGCAGATGTGCCGGAGGGAGCAGTGCTGATCCGGGAACACACAACGATGACCGATCTATTCAGCTGCCTCTGGTTCAACGAGGTCAATCTTTTCACACCACGTGATCAGATCAGCTTTGGCTACGTGGTGCATAGGCTCGGAGACGCTCTTAAGTTCTTCATGTTCCCCAACTGCGAATACAATTCGCTGTTCATCTTGCACAGACACACAAGAGAACACTCATCTAAAGTCGAATGGGCCAAAACAATCGATGAGATTGTGAAGAAGGGACTGAAGGAGAGTAGAGGAGGATTAGGGCTATGGACTCCGTATCCCGCAGATCTCAGCTCTGTGGAACTCCCTGCTGTAAAAAGAACTTCACCAGCTGGCTAGGATGTAAAATTTGTGGTCTCTGATTCTTTCATGGTTGTACAAAGTAGAACACTTATTTTTTATTTATTCTTTTGCCGCTCGCTTAATCAGATGAGATCATGTAATTCCTGTAGATTCTGTTGCAACTGAACACAGGGTGTACTGTAGGCTAATGCTTGGAGTATGTTGCTTCCAGTTCTGTGCAAAAGAACGGAGGAACGTAATCAACGGATTCATTTTTGTAGGGATGAAACCATATGACTAATCATTAACATTTCACATTGCAATTCAACATAAGTATAAGAGAACAGAAGTGGCAGAGTACATAATTTTTCATCAGTAGTCGGACTCGGACGCGGCTCCGGCCGTCCGCCGACGATCGGAATGGCCGTATCCTGCAGATGTCCCTGTTAGCACTGTGGAACTCGATCCTTGATGTATAAAGAACCTCGTCACAGATTTTTCCTCTACGTTTTCCTTTGGCTCAATCAGACGAGAGTATGTAATTTGTTGTATATTTCTATTGCAGCTGAACATTGCGAGTACTGTAGGCTAACGCTTAAGCTTTGTTGCTTCCAGTTCTGTGCAAAATCGTTGAATTTGCAAAAGAACCGTGGAATGTAACATATCGAATTCTTGTTTGTGGTGATGAAATCATACGTCCAGTCAACATCATTTCACATTGCAATTTTAACACTGGGGATTCATTTACACTCATTTATGTAGGTGCCATAAAAATATTGTTCACCATAGAAGATTCATGGTTCATCAGATCTGGTATAGGGATATCAAAACAACAATTAGAAGTTATAGCACCTGAAATTAATCAGCGCCAACGCATCATGCGCTTCTAGATGAATCACTTTCCTTCCACCTGATACAATTCCATCAGCATTCTCTGATCTACCAAAAGTCCTACACGGCTACACCAGAATCACAAGGGCCAACTCGAGTGGAAGGAATACAGGACCAGGTCTGCACCTCCTCACAAGTCACATCCACGTTTGACTGAAACAGTTGCTGTTTGGCCTCAGTGCCTCTTCACAAGCTCATGCCCCATCATGGTTCATCATATCTAGAAAACTCTATGCGAAGGTAAAGGGATATCAAATCTACAATTACAAGTTATAACACGTCAAAATAATCGGTGCAACGCACCATGTGCTTCTCAATGAATTGTTCTTTCCACCTGACAATTCCAGCAGCATTCTCTGATCTACCAAAAGTTCCTTCACTAGACTCACAAGGACCAACTCGAGTGGAATACAAGACCAGGTCTGCACCTCCTCCCATCCACATTGAACACGATGCCAGGCTGCACGGCAGCAGTCTTCCCCAGATGCAGGTTCAGAAATCCCTCCACCTGAAACAGTTGCGGTTTGGCCTCAGTGCCTCTACGCAAGCTCACGCCCCATCCAAGGTCACCCTGCGGTGTATCTGATAGTGTGACGGCCCATCTCAGTAAACGTGAGTTTGGCTTCTTGTTGAACTCAATCCAGGCCCCGATTCTAGTGTCCTCATCAACTTCCAGTTCAAGATCAACACAACCTCCAGCAGTTGGTTTCCTCTTCCGAGGAATTACACTGGGTCCATGCAAAGCAGCAGACAGGGTCAACTTTATGTCATCTGGGAACTGGTACGAGATTTGCCCAAACTCTGTATAAACTCTGCTGGCTTCACCATCGTTTACTGGCCTCCCGGCAACTGAAATCAGCTCCGCAAGAGAAACAGCAAAGTCCTTCGATCTCAGTATTAGGCCACCACCATATCTCTGACTTTTACTCAGCAAAGGTGGCCTCAACGAAGAACGCAAACTGGCCAGCCAATGTTCCTGTCAAGCAAACTGTTACCTTACACATTAGAAGGCAAAATGGTACTCCCTCCATTCCAAATTATAAGATATTTTGACTTTTTTAGAAACGTAGTTTTTACTATGTACTTAGATATACACTATGTCTAGATACATAGTAAAATCAATGTATCTAGAAAAGCCAAAACGTCTTATAATTTGGAATGGAGGGAGTAGTAGTATTGAAGGCATCACTGCTTGTCTAAAGAAATTACCTCTCGGATATTTTGGTCTGTTGAAAAATCTTTACATCTTGCTCCTTTTGGTACAGCAGCAACAGAAAATGAGTCATTGATATTCGACAGGTACATCAACTTTGACAGCACAAAAGGGGTCTCAATTAGATCATTTTCTTGAGCCATGCATCTATGATCGGTGCTGAGCTCAACAAAGAGGGAGTCCTTCCTGACAGGAGCCTCAAACACAAACCGTGAACTGATACCAGATTCTGTTTCTGAGATATCTCTTGGGAGCGAGCCAGCAACATTGATAACACCCTTGACCAGAGTGCTTTCTTCTGCGAATGGACCAACTTTGGTAGCTTTGAACAACGAGATCACTCTTTCAACTTTCTCTTGTCTCTCCCTCAACTGCATAATGTCATAAAACGCTTGTCGCTGCAAACGCTTCAAGATCTGTACCTGAAGTAAATAAAGAATGGAAGGTATATGAATCAGAGGCTCCAAAGGAAATGCCAAACAAAATCAAAAGCAGAAACCCATAATTGAACATCAAGTTTACCCCTGTCCCCTGACCCAAAAGCATGTCGCGAATAGAAAAGTCATTAAGGGCGCATGAGAAGAAAAGCACCACTTGTTGCCTTCTTGCTGGTGCAACACTAGACATTCCATTTTGCACATGTATTTTAGGAATTAGAACACCACACTTGTCTATCCCAGTATCTGTTTATATGAAAGAAACAGAAACAATCCTATCACGTGTCCTTCTTAACTACTGTCACAAATTAATTGACCATGATTAAATTCTGATAAACTTCTGATTGAATAAAACATGAATTACAAACCAAAAAAAAAACATCTGTATCACAGGTTACCTAGCGCAGTCATGCAGCCTCATTGCTCAGGGAAGAAACTGTCTATGATGTTTGCTGTGTAACACTCAGGGCAGCCAGAGGCGGACCGACCTATAGGGCGAGCTTGGGCAGCCGCCCTAGGTCCCCTCCGGTGAGCACCATTAGTACCCCTGTTCTCCGACTGGCGACGGCGTCTGTCAAAGTGTGAGCGCAGGCGCAGGTCCGATGCGGCGATGATGCGATGACGGAAGGTTGAAGAAAGGTACCGCCCTGCTGTGTTGGGCCGTCTGGCCGTTTGAGGCATGGCCCATTTGGGCCCTTAGGTCTAAGCACACGCACGAGAGGCAGAGAGCGCTCCAAATCGGAACTTCCCCTCCGCTGCTCCGCTGTGCTGTGCTCGGCGGCGGCGCTCCAAGCCTCAACTGGCAGCGAGGCGGCGGCGCTCCAACTCCTCCAAGCCGGCAAGCCGTGCTCCTGTCCCTGTCCCTGTCCCTAGTCTCTACGCCAGACGGCCAGCGAGGAGCGAGCGGTGGCGGGCGGCCCTGCACTCCGCCCAGGCGGCCGAGGCAGCACTGCAGCAGTAGCCGCTGATGGATGGGGGAGGAGATGAAGCCATTGGGGGAAGAGATGAAACTGAAGCCGGCGATACGTCTAACACGGCGACGGCGAGGAGGCAGACAGCTCCAACTCCATTGAGCCAGAAACGGTATAAGAAACTAGTTATTGTCATTAATCCATTGCCAATTGTTTGTCAATTAAATAGATAGAGATTGATCTCTGATTGGTGAAATCAATTGAATTGTTAATTGGTTTTGCAGATTTGAAAAGCTTTTTTCCTAGTACAAATTCCGCAAGTGGAAGCAACTTGGGGCCAAGTACTCATGAAAGCGGTAATGTTGCTGTTGCTGAATCTGAAGAACAAGAAGAACTAGGAGATTCAGAGCCACATCCACTAGAAACAGTACAAGGTGTTGATCATCAAGAACCGTCGTCACATGAGCAAGATGTTCAAGGTATTAAGGTTTTCAACCTGGATGTTGTGTAGCAAATGATCAATTCCATCTAGACATTAGAGATGATGTTAGGAGGGCTTATTTCGTGAAGGGCCCAACCAAACCTATGATGTACATACATCTTGCTATGTGACATTAGAGAGGATGTTCATCTTGTTTGGAGGGCTTATTAAAACACAATTGTTATGTGACATTACAATATAGATATGATATACATACATAGTTAGACCGGTATATCCGTGAAGTTTTCTATCTGTACATAACGATCCGCCCTAGCTCATATTTCCAAACACAACATACCGGCCTTTCAATGCAAACAAACTCACTAGGATGCTAGGACACAACAGTCAGAAAATGGCGCTGATTTTCCCTCCTAATGTGACTGCCAAAAAGAAAAAGAAATCCAAAACCTTGGCGATGGGGCTCATATGATGCAGATAAACAAACGCAACAGATGTGCCTCGGCCTCCACAAAACCCTACATTAATTAACGTTTAAATGCAACTGATGGCACAGCAAACTACTGTAGGAGCAACTCGCTAGGATACTAGTAGCACACAACACAACAGTCTGAAAATGGTGCAGTTCATTGCCCTCCTGTTCCTAATGTGGCTGCCAAAAAAAAACTTGGTACATAATCGCAACAAATAGGCCACAGCTTCCGCAAAACCCTACATCGATCGAAAAAAAGGGGAAAGCTTTAGGCTTTTGGCATTACAGACACGCTCAAACTAGACCCGCCGGCATCCTCATCCACCGCAACGCGAATGGGACAGAGTCCTGCCTCTACGGCGTAGGCTTTGAACTGCGAGAAGACAGAGAAGGTGTGGGTTCGCTTACGGGATTGGGGTCGGGGACCGGACACGGCGGCGGCGTCGGCGGGCGGCGGAAGGACAGGAGGAAGCGCTTGGCGGAGTCGGCCATGTCGGTGGCTCGATTCACCGCGCCGGTCCACGCCGCCTCCATCCTCTTCTTCCCCTCGGCCACGCTTCCCTCCGTGGCACTGGAGAGCGAGCGAGAGGAGGTGGACTGGATGGATGGATGCTTCGAGGTCGAGGAGGAGGAAAGGCAGCAGGCCAGCACCCCAACCCCAACAGCGGGGGAGAGAATGGAGACTTCTCGTGGAATCCTCGGTGGAGCTCGAAATCGCCTCCCAGAGGCCAGAGGACGACTCTCGGCCGTTGGATTTGCCTCAAGATGCGTGTTCTCCTATGGTAAGGGAAGAAAAAACTGGAGATGGGATTTGTGATGAATAAAATTAGGAAGATGCGACTGTTGGCCACTATTTGTCCAGAAAATTTCTCATTTGACACTTAAAAGATGACTTTTCTAGTGTTAACCTTTTATGCCATCAGATTGATCCCGGTCGTATTACCCATGTTTCAGTTACACACAAGCTAATACATCATAAATTCAAATGATCAATACAAAAATATGTGCAACAAGCAAAATCCTACAATATCAACGTGTAACAAGAAAATCCTACCTATCCCGTTGTGGTTGAGAGCTCAAGCTAGTGAACCAGACATTAAGGGCAAAATGGGCTTTTCCGCTTGCTACCACTACGTATCAGTGTTAGCTAAAAAACTATTAGGCACAAAAAAAAATAGGCCCAGTACCATGTAGGATAGGGAAAAATTTTCATCGCTAAATAAGAAACAGTTATTTTTAGTATGAAATAACGAATTTTCTCCAATTTATTTATATGTCAAAAAGCTTACATAAACTACAACATATGCCTTGTTATAGGGAAAGTCATCGCATCTGACATAGTACTAGATTATACCTATGCTATGTTTGGCACGACTCTTCTAGTTCTAGCCCTAGCTCCGACTACCATATGTAAAGGAGCTGGAGCTGGTGAAGCTAAAAATAGCAGTTCATCGGCTCTTAATTGATTTTGTTTATGAAAAACGATAAAAACAGTTTCTTGCTACAGTAAGAGTTCACAGATGATAGATTCTACTAGGAATCAATCGACGCATACCAAACGGGAGCTTAGATTCTACTAGGAATCAATCGAAAGCACACACTGCACGCATGGGGGTCTGTGTGTTCTGTCCCAAGTATTCTCCTTTGCCTTGTTTAGTTAGCGGAATTTTTTAGAAAATGGTATTGTAACATTTTTATTGTTATTTAGTCCAATTAGACTTAAAAGATTCGCTCAATTCCGTCTAAACTGTATTCATGTTCCTCTTATTCATGTGGAAGCCGGCTTAGAAAGTGGGTCCAATTCAGCCCAATTCCGAGGAACCAAAAAGACTCATGGGCTACAGCTGTCCCGTGATGACGGACGCTACCAGTTATCGCTACACAAATTTTTCTCATGTAACAGAAGCAAAGTTGATGGTGGTAATACAAACACAGCGCAAACGATTACATGTGATCACCCCTGCTTGCTTCTCAAAACAACTTACAACTGTACTAACAAATTTGCAAACGACTCAACTCATCCATATACACAGTGCTGCGACAGACTCCGTGCAGAATAGGGTACAGACAGGGATAGCCGCATTCGGCATTCAGCATCAAGCTCGATTGAACAGGGCTGACTTTTCGCTTATGAATCTGATAAGACTCCACCACCGCATGGCGGATGAAGCTGAACTCAGTTCAACGGGCGCTGACAAGGAAAGGGTGCTGACATACGCCGCATTCTATTGTCTCCGAACCAGAAGTTGGGACTTCAACCTGGATCAAAGCAAATTTATTGTGCCATGTTAAGATGTGGATTGTCAATCGGTGCACTAGGCATCGGAATTCGGAAGAAGTGTATGGTTGCAAAACTTGACCTGAAGATGGACCGTGCAGATTGGGCACGCGACCTCCCGCATTCGCTTGCCAGAAACATCCGAAGACCTTGTCCCTGTCAAGGATAAAACAGTACATTTTATATTGTTAAATAGCACAACGGGGAGCATCTCTGGTATGGATTGCAGAGATGAATCCACTCGCCTGAAGATGACCTTTTATTTATATCCATGGCTTCCTGTTAAAAACCACATAACATCCTCAGTCAGCATATATTCAAATGTGGAAGTTAGATACTCCCTTCATCTTTAAATACATGACATTTGGGACAATGTAATTAGTTCAAAATCGATGGAGGGAGTATGTATTAAGAAGTTATGTTCACCATTTGACAAACATCTACACACTACACATACAGGACCGAAGGAGACTGTATGCAATAAAAAGGACAGTGAAAGTGAAACAGACCCGTGGGTGATGTCTGCTCCACTTGTCACTTACTAAGTTACTATGGCAATAGCCTAAAAAATTTCAGTAAAGGTGGTGTCAAGCATTTTTTTTTCAATACATTAGCGCCCCAGGATAATCTGGTCTCATGCGCTTAATAAAATAAATTTGGGCAGCTGTCATAACCAAAATATTATCCCTTGAAAGTGAACTAGAAAGGGCTATCAGTTCAATAGAAATATACAAGACAACAATGCTCAAAAGAATCTGAGGAACTAACAAACCTGGAGCTTTTTGGCAAGATCCTCATGGCTCTGAACAATAGGTCGATTCGCCACTTCCCTTGCATTGTTAAGTCTTTGCGTTACTTCAGCCTTTGAAAACAGGAAGGCATGATATGAAAATTAGTATAACTCATTGGAAATTGTATGTTCAGGTTGTCCACGTAGGCCACTCCAAACAGACCAGGCCATTAAAGACTTGACAAAACAACAGGGTTTTATTGGATGAAAAGAAACCCACCAATCAGTGCAAATCTGCAGTTTTTTTTACAAGAAAATGCACTAATTGCGTAAACTAACTCCCTCGTTTATTTCCCAACAGTGCAGTACGAAGAAACCAGTAGCTCCTTGTAGAGAAAAGAAATGAATGAACAATAAAGCTTCCGTGCCTCAAAGGAGCAATAAAATGTCAAACTCAACATATAGTGGTTATTCAAATACAAATATCTTGGGCCCAACTTATAAATTAACGGTATAGGCTGTATTATCCAAGTGGCATGTTTGGTTTTTCAGTGTTTATGCCTTGAGCTCTCTAAGCTCAATAAAAAATAAAGCAAAGCACTAAATAATAATTAACATAACATAAATAAGAGCAGAGGTACGCAATGGCAAAGGATTGAAAAAGAAAATATTACCATGCATCTGTCACAAACTCGAGCTGGTTGAGCATCAGCATCTGTATTCAGGAGTTCTTCCCTGGGTGCACTTATCGCAGAAAATATCACCACAGTTTCGACAGTGATGCTGAAAATATAATAGGTTTGCCAAATTAAAAAAAAATGCAAGGTGATATCATCAGCAGAACAGATCAATATATAACTGTTCTTACCCTGCGGTTGAAAGCACTGAAATCTGCTGCGCATGCTGTGCACTTGCTGACAGCTTCATCTGGGACCTGAAAGAAAGAAAGGAGAAAACATGTATCTGATTAGAAAAAAGTGAGTCGGTGAACAAATCAAGAATCAGGAAATGCGCAAACAAATCAAAAGCAGAATGCAGACAATAGTATTGAAGGCAGGCTCCACTATGATGCTATCGAACAAACACAAAACCAACAATGCAATCAAACTAATAGCAAATTAGCAACAGAGGCAAACAAACATTGAGCTCAATTTGAATATAGCTTTGCAAATTATGCAGAAATTACAGGTTTGAACTGATAGCAAGAAGCAAATAGAGAGACTAATTACCCAGTGATCTTTCTCCTCATTCATAGGCTTCATTAAATTCCTCCAATCAAGGAAATTTTTCCTCCTCTCGTTTTGCTGCTCAGCAGGCTTGGCTACATCAGCAATTGCTCTACTTCTTGAAATGCTGCTTCCACCCATCTCCTTGAACTGCAGTCCAAAGAAGCTAACAGACATCAATCATTTTGGGCAAGCCACATATAGTGCAACAATACAAATTATAAAAACTATTGGATGATTAAAAATACGTTGATAACACAGATGTCAAACCTGCACAGTCGCAGCTGTGACAGTGTCAAGAATGGTGTTGGATGTATAGCTGTTTGATTTCAGCCTTATTCTTTTTGCTTCAACATCCACTGAACTCTTGGACCAAAAGGCAAAGATAGAGGAATCTAATACCTGATACAGAGACCATAAGATCAACAAAAGAAATACTAGAATTCTGACAAGTTACAAAGGTGCCATAAGGACGAGTTACTTACATCCCATCTAGTTACAGTTTCAAGGGGATATATTCTTAGTGTCCTACCAGTGTTGGGATCAAGCATCCGAATTCCATCCAAACCAACCTGCATAAGGCACAAGCAGAAAAGTATTGATTAATGACTGCTGGACCATACCAAGTCATGACATGCCAAGTATAACAACATAACATTATTAACACCCCTTCCTTAAACAGGAGTTCAATGCAAACATTTACAGGTATTGGAAACCATTATTTAGTAATTTTAAATGTGAACGTTTTGGCAACAACAATCCAGTCCCAGCCTGTCCATTTTCAGTCAGGTGCAAATTCACAACCATATGTTAATTAGGTAAAAGTACTTTCTAACTTAATGATTTCATTCGAACTATTGAACGCTCTAACGGCACAATTCCAATAGCTGAGATCTTCGGTTTTCTTCATTTTGTGTTGAATAACCTGCACAGTTATGAGCTCAATAATTTATAATTTTCATCTAACTTTGTGATGCTAACTATGCTACAACTCCATTCAAAAACCAACTGATTTAACTACCATTTCATTCACAACATATTTCAAACACCAACATTAGTATCCTTGCAAGGTTCTTGCTGTTTAACTTCTGTAAAAAAGAAATGACCGTTACTTTTTATAGTGTGTTAGCTATACAAACATCAAAAAGATGATGCCCCGAACTTCCTCAGCATATCATTCAGTTAATTATCAGTAAACTAAACAGCTTGACTTGGCCTTTGTGCTCACGAATAAGCCAAAGTTCTACAATAAACCGTTTATTTCACATTTAGCCACTACAAATGTACCCACTACTGGCTACTGGTTACTTGATGAAGTACATTTACTGGTCCCAGTCACCTCCTCTGTTGTAAAACTTCCAATTAAACTGAAGCCAGCTCTGAATAGATGATGCTAAGCCAGTAAGCAATGCACTACTATGAAATATAATCTGTTCGCACACTGATGAATGGATCAATTTTATAGTTAGCACACTAAATGCTAAGCCACCAGCAATGGACTACGAAGCTCATCCATGACAATGTTCACAAAATTCATCTCGTTCTGCAGCTTCATAGCAAGCAGAGTACCTGGCAGAGCACATCCATGGGGCTCCCAGCCCCTTCCGGCAGCAGGTTGACCCTGAACTTCTGCACCCCACCCCTGACGTCCTCTGACGTCTCTGCCTTGGGCACGGCTCTCACCACCTTGGGGTTGGCCGCACTACTCCCGCGGCCACCACCCCTATCGGCAGCTGAGCCAATGGACCTCCCGTAGTCATCAAACAGTGCGGATCCCGAGCCCGACCTCGGTGCGGTGCCCCTGGCCCCGTACGGCTCCGGCGCGTCGCCACCGTCGTACGCGTACGCCCCGTCGTCGGACCAACCGCCCCCGCCCCCGCCCACGCCCGCGCCCGCCGGCTTGGGCGGGTACAGCTCCTGGCCGTACCCGGAGCCAGGGCCGGATCCGTAGCCGTAGCTCCCCGCCCGATCCAGCGACGGGTACGGCGAGGGCACCGGGTTGTGCGGGAGCGGCGGCGCCGGCTCGTAGTGGTAGTACGGCTGCTGCGGCGCCGGTGCGGGCGCGGTGGCCGGCGGCGCGTAGTGGGAGAGGTCGGCGGGCGGGTACGCGGGGTACGACGGCGCGGGGGCGAAGTCCGCGGGGTAAGACGAGTACGGGGGCGCGGAAGCCGGGGCGGACACCGACGGGTAGGCGGCGGGAGGAGGCGCGGAAGCCGGGGTGGACACCGGCGGGTAGGCGGCGGGAGGCGGCGCGGCCGGGGAGGGGTAAGGAGGGTAGTAGGGGGCGTAGTCCCCCGTGCCGGAGGGATGCATCGCCGTCGAAGGGAGGGCTCGGATCGGGGAGTGGGTGAGGCGGGGCTGGCCGAGGGCGGAGGCGACGAGGTCGTCGGAGACGAGACAGGAGGAGGAAGCAGAGGAGGACGGAGACGAGACGACCGGTGGTTGGTGGTGGCGCGATTTTGCGAAATGGACCTCCACAGCTGAAGTACTTGCGGATTCGGGCCTTTCCAGTGTGCATGTGAGAATAAATTGTGTTCATGTGGCTGGGACTGGAATGAATTATTTGGATCAGGGATCGGTTGCCTCTGATTAGCATGACAGTGTTCAGCAAACTGATGCTAATGACAGTTTCAGGCTTGAAGTAATCTGGTGAAAAATGTTGCTCTGGTTGACTGGTTGGTTGTATTATTTAATTTAATACTTGTTTTAGATACAGAAGAATAGACTGAAATAGGCATTTGGAATGCTGGAAAATTTCCTGAATCCTACATTTTCCGTGTGAAGTTTTTACATGATTTTTATAGAAATTTCACATGAATCAATTCAATTTCACAGGAAAATGCAGGATTCAAGAATTTTTTCCGGCATTCTAAAGGGGCCTGAAAATGCAATGCTCTCTTTCCCTCAACAAACACACAAGCTGCAGCTTCCATTTGCTCACCAAACACACAAACTGCAACCACAACACATTGCCGCACCCATGCATGTTTTCTGTCTCTGCCACCTGCTCTGCAAGTGCAAGTGCTCTCCTTTGCTGCACAGTTACACAGGGCTCAAATACAATCTGCAGCTGGCTGGCTGGCATGAGGGGCTTACATTACATATGCAGCTATGTCAGATTCAGCAACATAACCAAGAAATGAAACCATTGGTCTAGGTAAGAGAGGTCATTCATGCATTGCATCGGGATTATTAGTTCCATGCATGTCGATCGGCTCTGAACACAAGCATATTCAAATAACAGACAGTGAAGGCAACACAAACTTCGCTGGAAATTTCTAGGCAAATGCAAGCAAAAGCAAACTTGATGCAAGGCTGATGAGGAAAGCCCAACCAAACCCTGTCCAAATGCATGCACCCTAACTTTCAACACGACGTGATTGCCGAAAGAGGCAACTTGCACTATTGCTGAAGGAGTTGCTTTCTTCATTCGGCAGGCGATAAGATATTAAACTAGTCGGTAACCATCATGGTTAGACAAAAGCTGGTAATCGACTTAATCCTATGTCAGCACATGGCAAGATGAACACTGCACTGTCCAATGAAAAGGAGAAAGAAATCACCAATCAGAGCATCAAACACATACATCTGGACCGGGTAGTAATACGATACCAACATCTGCTTATATTGTTTACACCAATTATTATGTGATTGTAGCAAGCTGCTCAGTTTATTTTTAGTAGGTGTGTGTGTATCAGTTAGGCGATGCATAGTTATATTGTAGGCATGGTGATTCATCTAAGCAAATTGCTTTCCTTAATGAAAAAACAAATGTTGGTATGTACCTTGTTGATGTCAGAACTCTGAAGACTGTTAAGTAGCTTTGCTGAAAGACCATGTCTGTCTGGCTGCAGCTTGCATCTTCACTTCATTTGATCCTCCTCCATCTGAATGTTTTCAGAAAAAAAATAACACATGCTGTGCTGGATCACTCTCTACAGTTAGTTGCTAATATTTTATTTCTCATTGCTGTATTCTATTTGCAGCTGTGCAGCAGCTGATGATGTACATGTTTGTCACTTTCCATAGGGGCTGAGAGAGTAGTGATGTGGCTGGTGCTTCTTCTTTAAAGTAGACACCCTATGGTCGGCAAATAGAAACATATCTTGCCCATTATTCATTACAACAAATCTAGAATGCTTGCAGGCCTTTTGTGCCTCGATAAAAGTAAATGCACGGCAAGGTCAAAAGCCTCAAGGTGTTTCTTAATGATCAGGTGACGACATTTGCAGCTAACTTCCCTGAAAACGATGTTGATTAATTCACATATTTTTTCGCAAACATCTCGAAGGCTCGCTTCGGTTTGGCCTGGCTTGGATTTTGGCAGATGATTGGGGGATCAGAACAAACCTTAGTGTTTGTTTCGGAAACAGATAGATGAATTTTAAAACAAAGGTCAGGACAAAGGTGAATTTATTAGGTTCTGGGATAGGTGGAAATATCTTGCACAAAGATGAGGCCAAAGTTTCAGACATCACACAGAGCTAAAGAAACGAGATAGAATATGCACATTTTTATCAAGGCAACCACTACACCTGGTCCTGCAGAAATCCCCAAGTGCTTTGCCACGCTTTTGACTCATCATCTCCTATATATATTTGCACTGCAGCTGCAGCTAGCTAGGCCATGCTCTGAAATCTGAATACTGCAGAAAAAGCGCCGCCGAGTGTGATAAAGAAGATTACTTCCTGCGAAATATCTCTGCATTGGAACATGGATTGGATAGATAAAGATGGCCAATGTGATCCGTTTGGTTGGGTCAATGCGTCGGTGATGATAAGATGGGATTACGAGTAAATTTTATGCTGCGATATCTAGGTGCAATGATCTGTCGACAGTGTGAAGTGGTTTCAGAACTTTGCATGCTTTTGATTCCAGTCGGCATCTGGAGGGTCATCAGACAGCAACTCGACCTCAATTTTAATGCTTACACACTAGTAACTATCTATGAACTCATCTATCCATGATATCTCTGTCAATATAATGTTGAGTTATTATATATAGAGTTGTAAAACTAAACTCTGAATGAGTGTGGTACAGCAAGTACTGTCCCTTAGTACCAGCTAAACTACAAGTAATAAGACAAAGTGCCAAAGGCGATGGATCTTGGGAAAGAAATGGAAAGGAAGGCGAGGTCCAGATAAGGCTATTAGAAAGGGATGCCCTACCCGGCCAGAGTCCCAGATGACACAGTTCACTTGTAACGTTGATCAACTAGTACGGGGACCATCCTGCTTGCTCGATGGATCGCTTTCTCCAACTCCAATATGCAAGGATATGAACCAAAATTCTTAAAAGGAAAAGAAAAGATTTATGAGCTAAACAACAGGAGTGGACATGTATTTACATGGTGTAATATGTCATGGTGAGCTAGCAAGCATGCGCAGCACTATATCTCTAATAAGTTCATGGCCTGATGAAAATTCTTAGCATCATATCGATCTCCTGATCGAATCGAAGTGGTGGATTTAGCCAACTGCCTCCGTCCCAGACATGATTATTAGATGCCAATTAACAATTAATTAGCCTATCGGGAGCCGCCGCCGCCGCAGCTGGTAGGAGTATATATGTAATTAACAAGCATGCAGGCATACGACACAGGCTGCATCAGCATCAGCATATAAATACTCCTACAGGGCCATGAACTATCTCACCGCGCGCCTGCAAGCAAAGCCATTAGCAGCTCTGTGGTCAGTGCTGCTGCCAAAGCTAGCTGAGCTGCACCCCAGTTTCCAAGCAGCAGCATAGCAGGAGCCAAAAGTAGAGGAAGCACTACTAGCGATTACACATATCCAAGCAAGCACCCTAGTGTTGGTGCTTGTTGGTGCTCTCTCTTTCTCTCTCTCGTCTCCTTATCTATCCGTCATGGCGGCCAACTACCACCACTACCAGATGGCGGTGCACGCGGCGGCGGCGGCGGCGGCTGCGTGGAGGGAGCCGGACAGCCCGGAGCTGAGCTTCGTGAGCGGGTGCAGCTCCCTCTTCTCCATCTCCACGCTGCAGGACGACGACGACGACGGCAGACCCGCCGTCGTCATCGCCGGCCACGCGCTGCCCTCCACGCCCGTCTCGCTCGCGGGGTTTGCTGCCGGCGACGAGGTCGACATGGAGGTGCAGCAGGCGAGCGGCGACGACCGGCGGAGCATCAGGATGATGAGGAACCGCGAGTCCGCGCTCCGCTCCAGGGCCAGGAAGAGGGTCAGTACGTATACACCAAGTATTTTAGCACAGTTTTTTAGAAAAGGGTATTTTAGCACAGTTGCATTTTTCTCTAATTAAAGATAGTATTTTTTCTACTTGTGAGTGAGTTTATTGCCAATTATGCACTGCTATCTGATGATGGCAACGTCAAAAACTAGCTGAAAGTCTGAAACTACAAATCCATGAAGTTTCCTGAAAAATTGCATATACTACCATATACCTATGAAAACATATAAAGCCATGCATGCTTCAAAATATTTATGTCACTATTGCAACCCTCATTGTTTTGGAGAACACCTTTTCAAGCTTAATAAAGCATTTGGTACCTATCACGAAATAATAAAGTAGTAACAAGTATGGTACAGCATTACAGCTTTGCTCCCCCTAAGATAACCTTATACTAGCACATCCCAATGCAATACACAGGCGTATACTATAGCTATACAGGTATGTGACAGTGAAACTTTGGAGAGAGGTGGTGACTGATGACTAGTGAGCTAATTTGGTCTCTGAGTTAAAATAAGTGTTTGTAAAAGTTTTAAAAAATGGAATGCGTGGTGGCTCTCTTTCCATCATGCATATATACTGAGTCTCTGCCAATAATTTCTTAGTCAACATGGATTAAACATGTATATCGCTTCTCTGAGTGCCGCCAAATCCAGCTTAATTACATAATTGAACGACATACATATACGTTGTTTCAAGAACAAGTTGGATGGTTATCACTCTCTATCATCCAGTACAAAAATCCCAAAAAAAATGTTAACACTGATCATGATGAGTTCAGTTGTACCTGCTCTCCAAGTCTAAGCACGAATTCCTCAATCTAGAGAACAAAAACAAAACAAAGAAAATTCAAGCACCAAGGGCTCACACAGCGACACGAGTACGCTTGTGCAAAACTTCGTTAGAATATTCCTGGTGATCATGACATCTGCATCAACATTCATATTGGACGTTTGCGATTAATTTTTTTATTTCATTTTTTTGGATGGCAAGAAGTGAATGGTTATTATTGGTTCGATCACAGAACCAAATACTAAAAAAATTCCAAGTTGGCATATGACTTCAGGATTGCGTCAAATTAACCACTACAATTTGTTGCGTCTTCTTCCTCGCGTAGGCTTACGATATCTATAAGACTACATATAAGTACAGACTAATACAGTCTCATGGTAATGCTTATGCTTATGCAGTTACGTGCCGTCTCCAAATAAACAAAATAATTATTAAAAATACGTCTAACAATATAATTTGATCAAAACTAGGTCAATGAAAACCAACATCTCAACCAGCACAATTAGTCGTTTACCTGAAAATGAAAGGTCTTTGTGTTAATTGTAGCTCGATTGTTTTTACTAAGTGATTTGTTTATGTGCAGGCATATGTGGAGAATCTAGAGAAAGAGGTTCGCCGTCTGGTGGATGAGAACTTGAAGCTCAAGAAGCAGTGCAAAGAGGTGCATGCTAAAACATACTGAGAATCATGCATGTCAAAAGCATGCCTTGTTTTCTTTGGTGGTCAATGTGATGAACACTTCTTTTCTTTTCTTTTCTTTTTTTGCTGCACAGCTGAAACTGGAAGTAGCGGCACTGGTCCTCCCAACCAAGAGCTCACTTCGAAGAACCTCATCCACCCAATTCTGAAGGGACAAAGAAACATGAACATATATATATTTGATAGTAGTACAAAGTTAAGAGAAGGAATGTTTGGACTTGTGTGTACATTTTCAGTGTCGGTGTGTGTTTGTGTGAAGTAGGGCAAGGGAGATAGATTGGGCAATGTGCTATGATCTGCATCTTTTTTTCTTTGATACCCAGAGCAATCTCAAGCTTGCCAATCTACCATCCCACAAGTCCAACATGGTTTAGACTCCGTGGCGACATGAGTTCAGTTAGATGCCTATGATAATCCCTGCAGGCTTCTGCGTTCACCATCAAAGCCAAGGAAGGAGACTTGGGCCAAGTTCTCCTAAAAAATATATAAAGATAATACAACAGAGGAAACTGGAATTAGCATTTTGCGGACCAAGCCAACGGAAAAACTGAGAACATTTCAGGCCTAAAATCCGTGCCTACTAATGCTAATGCCCATGGGCAAACTTAACCCAGATGCTATTGGGCTGGACTCCACCCGTTAATTTTAAGTTAAAATAAGAACTACAAAAACTGTTTTGGGGCCGAGTTTCCTCCGTCCAGGCCCAGCCCTAGAATAGTTGTGGACCAGGCTTTGCCCACCAAACTCATGCCAACCCACTTCTCAGTTCTAAGGGGACAAAGGGTTAGGAAAACAAAGTCTACCTTGTATCTGGCTTGCTTATTTTGGGTTTGCAATCCACGACTTAAATTAGACACCACGACACCTCTCACATACTACCAAAAACATAACTATTGAGGTTAAGGCCCCATTTGCTAGGGCTACGCATCATTTACAAATGTCTAGGGCTCGGCTGCTCTAATGGAGTTTCCTCGTGGAGCTAAGCCGTTTGAAAAAAAAAAAATTGGCAGAAGGACTTCGCCAAGCAGGGACGGGGCCAGAGGAGTTGTTGGGGGCTGCATTGCAAACGGCTCTTGCTCCATGGGTGCTTTAGCCTTTAGGTGTGATGAAGACATACGTTTTTCGAGTGACCATTTGGTTAGGTTTTCGGAGAAGTCGAAACAAAAGCTCTAAAACCCTACCAAAAGGCCTTGTATAAGCAATTCATGGGCATCTTGAATTTGGATTGATTAAGATACTAGGTGTATACCCTTGAGTTGCAACGACCGAGAAAATCATTAAGCAAAGGCAATACACTAGAGGATGAGAATATAGAATAAAATGCAAAAAAAAGTTTGAAAATACATTAAGCACAATGACCCCAAATGAAGCCCAGTAGGCATACACAAGTATAAGCCGGTGCTTCTTATTGGGCCTCCACACCGTCTTGCAGGATGATGAAGCGATCCAAGTCCTTCGTGCCTCAACTTTGCTAGGAAATAAAACAAGAATGGTATTTCAGTGCACGATCCATGACATCCATCAACCACACCAATGGAAATAGAAAGCAAACTTTAGGTTTATCATGTCAGATTAGCTGAAAGAATAGACAACATAATTGCTTTTCGGCAAAATTGCTTTTGACCACGATTAGGACTTTTATCGGTTTTACGCATGTGGTCAATTCTTCCCATGAAATTTGTGTGCCAATGTATTACACTTCTCTTATCTCTCAGGTGCTTTTTTGTTGTTGTTGTTCAGACAACATGTAATTTTATCCTTGTTTGAATAAAGGGAAAAAAAACTTGTTTTGTTATTTGTCATTTTAATCATACAAGTTGGTTGCCCGAAAATTCAGGGGCTTGAAATATAGCACTATCATATATTCATATATAATCTAAATGTATGTCTTTTCCCATAAATTTGAAAAATGTACAAAATGCCTTCTTTTTTTTTTGGGGTAAGTTTTCTAGCCGAAGGTGTCTCTCAGCAAACACTGCACTATTGCTCTGTCGCTGTCAGTGACCATACTGCCTATAGTAGCAGCAAAAGGCCCTTAGTATTCATCAACGCCAGGACAACGAGAGCCAGACACCCCGCCGCCCAACCCGGGCGACCTCCGGTTATCGACGACGCCGCACTGCCGTCCGGCGGGGGGTTGACAGTAGGCGATCCGCCGCTTCCTCCTCCTCCTGCTGCGCCGGCGGAGTTGTTGACGGCGACCCTCATGCCTCCTAGGCAGTGACCGGGGAAATCGCAGATGAACCAGTATCCCCTCGCCTCGGCGAGCACCACCCGGTCGTAGCCGCTGGTGTACTTGACGCGCACGCCGTTGCCGCCGCCGACGGCGGTGTCGCAGGACCGGTAGACCTCCTCGGTCACCTCGTACAGGTTGTGCTGGGAGCTCACGTACTGGAAAACTGCACGCAGCAGATCAAACATCAAAGTACGTACATGGATTAGTATATATTTAACTCATGCGCAAATTAAACATGCATGAAACAGGTAGTGTTCATATGCATGGATCATGCAGGGATGCATTTATATGATGAGCAGAGCAGGGGCCAGGCGGTGATCGAGCTGACCTAGGACATCCCCGACGGCGAAGGCGTGCTGCCTTGCCCAGGCAGCGTAGTTGATGCCGGACCCGGATTCCCAGCCGTAGCTGACGTCGCCGACCACGTACTCGGCGGCGCCGGCGCTCCGCGCCGGCCACAGAATCAGGAGCAGGGAGGCGACGGCTAGAGCCTGCATCGCCATATCACTGCTGCTAGATTAATTTTGACTGTGTGCGTGGTGACTGGCGCAGGATGCTCAACTCAGCTCGATCGTGTGTTATGAGTTATGACTACTTAACGATGCTTCTGCTCCAGGACGAGGCAGAGCGGCAGAGCCGACGCTGACGGCGACGGAGGACGGACATTTCGAAGCGCCGGCCGGGCGAGCTGCGTCCTGCGTGGACATTTGGACGAGGAGGATGAGGAAGAAGACGAGGTCAGCGAGCTGAGGTCGCTAGGTGGATGACAATTGAATCGACGTTCGGCGGCGGCCTGGTGCACGTGACGAAATCACGAAAGAGCACCCCGCAGCAGGCCGGCCGGATTCTGGGCCTCACACGGCAGCCAGCCCAGCGGCCAGCGCAGCCCAACTACATGCCAGAAGTGTGTATTTTTTTTAGATAATAAAGGGAGTTTATTTCATTAAACAAATGAAAATGTCCCGGCCTCTACATCAGACGATGTATACGATGTATGTGACCAATAACTACATGCCAGAAGTGTATGTATAGAACGGTGAATGAAGAAATTCCTTTTTACCTTTGAATTAATGTCGACGTCTAACTTTCCTCTTCTAACTTCAAAACCAGACATTCTTACTCCCTCTCTCAAACGATGTATGTGACCAATAACTACTTGCATGCCAGTTTGGGAACCGGCCTGGCCAGTTCCAGCATGGTAACACCCCGAAACGCTGTTTCTTTATCCGGGCTCCAAATGGAATGATTCAAATATATATTTTTGACTGTTTTGACGATAGGAACACGATGACGGAGTTCATTATACACTTTGGTCACTTTTGGTTGTCAACACAACTTATGTTAATGTGGCAGGGGTTAATTTAAACGGTTTTGAGACTTGATAGGTTAAAATATTTAATTTTAGAGTTCAAGAAGGAAAATTATACCACGACAATAACTCAGAGGGTAAAATGGACCTTTTCAAAGCAAATATTTTTTACTGCCTCAATCCTAAAAAAGAATATAATGCTAGAATAGTAGTGAAATGTTTAACCAAACCTATAAAAAATATACTAATATTTATACCATATTAAATAAGTATCATTAAATGGTAATCAGCTGTCATCTACTCCCTCCGTCCCGTTAAGATTGTCGCTCGGGAAGCGGGATTGTGAGGGGGGCACGGTTTTCCAACGACAAACTCAATGGGACGGAGGGAGTAGATCCCAGCATCTCTGCCTTCAGCTGTCTCTCCACTCACTTGTCATCAGGGCCCTTGCCATATGTCAGCAACTAATACTCCCAGTGTCACCTCAAGTCGTCACGGCCATGTCATCAACTACATCCAACGTGTGTTTGGTGTGGTACGGTGACGATTGCAAACAGATTCCCTTGCATGCATGGATCGACTAGCGAGGTTAGTTGGCACATCTGTCATCTGTCATCTGTGCGTGCATTGTTGGCACTTGGCAACTCCGCGGCCTGCTGCCAGATTCTAATAAGCTATACTCCCTCCGTCCCGTTAAGATTGTCGCTCGGGAAGCGGGATTGTGAGGGGGGCACGGTTTTCCAACGACAAACTCAATGGGACGGAGGGAGTAGATCATGTCAGCCGATCATGTGTTATATCATCCAGCCCTCGATCGGTGTAGACAAGTATCATGCAGTACGTGTGCAGATATATGCAGAACCGCATGCATGCATGCATGTTATTCGACTCGACCAGCCAGCAGCTTCTCAGATCAGTGCCGGATGCCGGCCCAACATACAAGCAGAACATGCATATGAAAAGTACTCTCTCTTTCCTAAAATAGTTGTACCCTCGTTTTTCAGTCTAACCAAATATACACATGATTATCAAGTATCAATAGCTACCAAACATGTGTCCTAAAATCGTTTTATAGTAGTAATAGCTACTAGTTAATAGTGAAGTCTTGAAGAGTATAACGAGTGAATTAGATTATCACCCAACGTTCTCCCATATCTATAAATAAGCCATAAATTTAGAAGTAAACTTGAAAAAGGGTATACGTTAGTGGCATAATCTTACATAATACTTATATTTTACTCCATCCGTCCAAAATTATAAGTCATTTCAACTTTTTAGAGAGTCAAAGCATCTTAAGTTTGACCGGATTTATATAATAAAACAATAACATTTATGATACCAAATAAGTATCATTGAATTTTTCATTAATTATATTTTCATAGTATACCTATTTGATGTCATAAATCTTTGTAATTCTCTTTATAAATTTGGTCAAACTTGAGATGCTTTGACTCTCAAAGAAAAGTTAAAATGACTTATAATTTAGAACGGAGGAGTAGGTAATTTATCAGCTGCCAGGGCTACCAAAATGGAAAGGCCCTGTTGGCATGAATATATGCCATAGCTCAAGGTCAAGATAATTAACAACGAGCGCTCGAGAGGAC